CGATTATGTTAAAACAGAAGTTAAGACAGCTCTGGGGTTTATCTCAAAGTTAGGACAGAATATAAGAGATTCGGTTTAGTTAGGATGTTTCAATACTGTAACAACTGTAGCAGCGACTGTCCTAAGTCCTGTCCTAACTGAAGTTGTCATGGTGGCTAAACAGATTTCAGCTAAGATATTTCTGTAATATGGCCCAGGCTTTTGTCTCGTTGGATGAAGAGTGACCTAAAAACTCAGAACTAAAGGTCTAATTATCGTTTCAAAAACAGATTTGAAATCAGTGGTAAAATCGGACAAAAATGTCAAAGTTTGTAGTGTTTGCTCACTGCCCCTTTGTGTGTGTTCACTAGTGTGCTTGTATGTGGGTGTTTCACTGCACGGATGGGTAAAATGCAGAGGCCTAATTCCTCTGTGTACAAACACAGTTGGCCAATGGTTCTGAATTCTACTCTATGCTATTCTATTCTATTCTATAACACACATTTTTGGGTTGTTCTGGCCCCCACACGCTTTTTCCTGCTTGCGACATTGACACGCCAAATTGAATGTTACAAGCGTGCCCTCTATCTTCCAACCAGTGACCATTCTCCTCCTTTATAATTTCTCCTATTAGCTAGTCGCTAACTCTGGCGTAAAGCATTGTTTCACTGACTTTCTACACTACCCCAAATAAAAACTTACCTCCCAGCATCCATTACCCTCTAAATGTGAGTGGGACACAGACAGACCAAAGAAATTTTTTTTAAGAAATAATTTATTAAAATCTTCCAGAACCCCACCACCAAGTACAGAATTGTACACTGCAAATTTACGCTACAAATGTTATTCTCTCCGAAGTAATAGTTCTGTGAAAAGCACTATAAAAGAGGCATAAAAGCGGAGGACACGGTCTCAAGGTCCCAATGGCACTTCATGGACTGCCATGGAAAACTAGGCCTGCGTGTGCTACTGTGACTGTGGAGTATGTCTTAAAATGCAAGACTGCTATTCTGCTCTTTACTTCTATACTGTCATATTCTCAACTACAACAGCTCAATACAACAGGTTAGAAAAATGTTGCAATGAAACAAAGCAGGCGCCACTTAATGAATGTAGTGTTCAGAGACGACACGTACTGTAAAATAACAAAACGTGTCTTATGATCGCAAAGACGTCAGTGAATAAATTTAACTCACACCAAAAAAGGAAAAAAAAAGAAAAGAAAAACAAACAAAATGTTTATGTCATGCTGTAAACAACAATAAGGCATCTAAAGTAGTAAACATCTTCCTGTGATATTGGTTTCCCTTCAAACCTTCGTCAGCAGCAGACAGGTTATACACAGAACTTAGTATTTTACACTTCTTTTCATAGTATCTACTGTATATGGATACAGGCAGTATATATGCAGCACTGCGCAAACGTCAGAGACCAGTCTCGTTTACTTAATGTCCAGTCAAACAGCCATTATATACAAGTTCTTCATTTTTCAGGACAAAGAAGCTGCTGGTGTTCTCAGAACAGACTAAACACCCAATAGTGTTTGTGATTACTTTGATTGTGAGAAGCAGAAAACGATAAACCAGCTTCTAAGACTGAACTTTGGAGGTGTGTCTGCAGATTTACTTGAGAAACTGAAAGTGAGTCTCCTGAAATGAATGGAAGCTGGAATAAAGGTACAGAGTGACAAACTGAACATTCAAACAGCTGAGATTAGATTTAGCTGTTGAGGCTTCGGTGTGATTTTCTGTTAAACATGTTTACACATTACATACAGACTTCTACATAACGGCTGTTTTGACTTGAAATTAAATGAATGACTCTTGCGCAGTACTGTATATAATCTCTTGAGATTTCTGTAATCACTTTGCAACGGACAGGCTGGGAACAGAATTCCAGATTGGAATTAAAACGGAAACAATGACTTACTTTTTACTTTTTCATTTTTTAATTATTTCTCAGTGAGCTGGTTAATTTAAACCCCAAACCTCTGACCAATAGCAACAGATTCTGACGCTTCCCCTAACGGACAGTGTAAAATTAGTTTTGGTTCTATCTTATATCCCATCCTCCAGGTGTAGTAGCTATAAACCAGGATTAGCAGCAATACAGAGGTGGGACAGATAATTCTAGGGGAATTCTACCAAATTTTCAAAAAATGTCTGCAAAATTCACTGGTTAAAACGTGAACAATGCCATTCAGAATGGTCAGATGGTTCAGATCTCTTTATAGTGGTGGTGATAGGAACCATGACTACAACACAAATATAGCCATTTTATTTACGATCCAAAACCACCAGTGAACCTACACGTGTCTTCTGAGTTTTATATGGAATGTTATTGATAGTAAAAGTGGAAATTCTGCAATAATAAGTTTTCATCAGGGATTATTTTGCCATGGATGTATTTTATAAATCCACATCAGGCACTGTATTCATAGCCATTTCATGTAATAACATTTTAGAGGTGGACGTCTGGTTCCTATCACCGCCACTGTGAACAATTCTGACTCGGTAAGCTTGGATCATTTCACACCAAGCCCCTCTGAATGACTCTGTTTACATCTTATCTATTTAATTATGGAAAAAAAATGGTGGAATTCCCCTTCAATGCTATACGTTTCCAATAACGTACTTATATTCCTATAAATAACAAGGATAAAACTAACATACGACTAATATAACTAAGACTTACATGATTACATGAGTTTACTGTGGACAGAACCTTCTAAAACTTCAAAAACCTTCTGAACAATAAAATGTTACTATGACAGGTCAGTAGATTCAGGTAGAGACCATTTCACAGACTCTGAAGTAGACTTGAAAAATCAACACTGCATATTCGTAATCTACACACACTGCAATTTGTTCCTTTTGTTCTGGAGAGGACGCTGTGTTTGTGCTTGTATCTGAAAACGCATTTTTAAAAATGAGTTAAACCCTTAAAAATCATTTGAAGATACAACTATTAGAAGATAAGTAATCAGATGCTAAACATCAACAACATATGATGGTTATACTGGCTGTGCCAGCATTATATCATTAGTGTTTTTCCACACATGCTATAGTATAAGGTATTGAAGGGCCCATATCCTACAAATCTTGTTTATTTTGTCAACTAATGACATTTATGTGAGTTTATGCACCAAAAATAGTCAAAATAAATTTTTCCATGACCACTTTCTGACCTCTCTTTATCCCTTAGAATTAAACAGACTGTGCCTTTAAGACTGATATATGTAAATGATCTTTGTTCTGATTGGCAGAATAAGACGTGATGTAAACGTAAAATAAGAACTTCATGCTGCAGCTTTTTTTGCTGCCATTTTGTGGCAACACTGCTTGCTTATTTCTGGTACCGCTGTTTGTTTTTGCACATGTGCAGATTGAGAAATCCGAAAGAAGTCAGAGTAAGAGTTCACATGCACTGAGAAATCTGATTACTGAGCTAAACTCCAGCTCTCTTTATCAGATTTCTTGATCGGATTTCTAGACCTTACTCTGATCTACAAAATCAGAGTGTGCTGTTGACATGACCATTTGAATAATCAGATAACTGCAGAAATACGATTATGAACACTCAATGTTTTAGACACTTCAAACAAGGGAGGAAAGGTTGGTTTTTCATGATATGGGCCCTTTAAAACCTCTTTTCAACTAGCACTGTGGGTTCTACAAATGATAAGACATTGGTTCATTCCAATGCAGAAGTTGGAAAGGTTTTGCTGCTTTGAAGTGTTTTTGAACCATCATTGCACAAAAGGACGACAGCTATCCGCACACAGATTAGTAAACTCCACAGCTGTCAATGATCAGAGCGTTATGAGAGCAAACAGACCCCTACGTCTGGAAAAACCCCTCTGCCTGAACACTGACCTAAATTTAAAACGGCTCACTTCAACACCTGTTCCCAAAGCTAATTAGGGTCCAAAATAGACCTCCTTAATGACACAAACCTGGAGCGGACTCGCCTCGCTCTGAAACTCGAAAACCCTCAGTGACAGAGTCTGTAGACCATCAGAGTTCACACGGTCACGGTCACACTCTCACTCTCTCTCTCTCTCCGAGACATCGTAACACATTCCTCTCTTTTTGATGCAAAAGTTTAGGCACTCATTGCTGAAACTGCTGGGCGTTCACTACACGACTTTTAAACTCTTAACAGACTTCTAAAATGGAGAGCATCACAAACTTAACGTCAGTTTGTCACAGAACTTCTTGTCTTGTTGTCGTGAGGGCGCTCACACTAGACTACAAGGCAAAGAGAGAGAGTAACACATAAATTTGGGCTACAAATAAGAATTAAAACCCCCAGATCTCCTCAGATCACATGACACAAACAAAGCTAAACTTACTGGACCTGTCTGTGCTTTTATGCACAAACTGGAGATGAATATGTGGTGAGAAACGCTGATATTACAGTGAGAGCTGGAGAAATATTTCACTACAAACTGGCAGCTGAGCTGAAACTGTACTGAGAGTGTTTTGACGTCTGGATCCAACATTATAAACATTAAAAACATGATATCGGCTCTGATGTGCCTGTGTTTTACACTCAGCTCCTCTGTTCATGCACGTCTCTTCGTCTGTTTCTCCGCTCTTCTAGCTCTCTAATTGGCTGTTGTTTGAATCACTCATTGAGTCAATCTCTGACTCTCTCACACTGCAGGACTCGTGAACATTTTCAGTCATAAATATCAATCACCTCAGATTCTATTGGACGGCTAAAGGTTCACTCGTTTCTCCTCTCACAATAACAGATCATCCGCACCGTCGGTCGCTTCCAATCGAGCTCCCGACCTGGAAAATTGCTTAGCAAATTTGTTGGAAGCTTAAAATCGGCAGCGTTTTATGTATCAGTCGTAGTTCGTTTTACATGAACATTCTTTCTGTCCGCAGTAACAACACTCCTTATCGCTTCAGTGCGAAAGGGCAGGGCTTAACTGCAGTAGGCTAGGTGGGTGGACAGTGTAAAAGCATTCATGTTTGTGACATCACAGACACGATTAACTCAAAATGAGCTGTTTTTGCAGATTAGTCATAAACAGATTAGTATTTGCAGATTAGTCATAAACATACACGATACAAAATCTGTAGATTCCCCTTTTTCGCTAATACTAAGAATACTCGAAAACTGTAAGCTAGCAGCCAAGAAATAACTTCATTCATAGTCGTATGCAAAAGTTTGGGCACCCTGGAGAGAAAAAAAAATAAAAAACGCACAAGAAATGCCATATTTAAGGACGTGTTATTTTCGCTTAGAAAATCAAAAAAACATGTCACTTGACTCAGAGTATTCAAACTTTGCATACGACTGTGTAATTCATTTTTAGCAATGTTAACGTTCTTTTGATGAAACAATCCTCTTAAACGGCAGACTGAGCAAAAAGATGCCTAAACTTTTGCATATACCTGTATGAATATGTCTGCAGGCCTTCAGTATTAATGCATAGGCACTCATTCAGTAGAAGCCACAGCTGTCAGAGATCTGCTGGAGTGCACTGGATCTACCGCTGTATCTCCAGGCTGCACCATCCTGCCCCGCTGTCTGTTGTGGTTCAGTTCACTGTAGGGCAGGCTGGACAGCCATACGCTTGACTCTGGCAGCATACGGGGGCTTGCCTATATCCACAGTGACATTAATGTAGAGTGGAGGTCTCTCCACTGACAGAGTCTTATAAGAACACGAGTTCAGGCCATCCTTCCTCCACATCTGCGCCGTCCGGCCCAGCAGACGCATCCTGTGAACGGAGGAAAACACTGTTGAACATTCAAATAAAACTTTTGCTTCTAGAGATCTGCCTTTATACAGCCTAGAAGTCATAGTTATCACCTGTGACAACAAAACATGCCTTAATTTTATATGAACTATCTCTAACTCTTTGAAACAAGTGGAGGAACTGAGTGGAAAGTGCAGATTGTAAACTTTCAATCTTTGTTACATTTGTGTTTATAAGTAAGATATTTTATTATTTATTACTTTACATTTTTGCCATGTTTGTCATTTTTTGTGAAAGTAGATGTAATTTATTATGCATCATTTGAAAGTCGAATCTGTAGAATTCGTAGAATCTGCTCTTTCGGCAGCATTTCTCTTGTTTCAAAAAGCTACAAGTGTGAAATGAGATTTAATAACTTTTCAAAGCACAAATGCCTTAGAGGAACTAGGCTTGGTATCAACTTGGGGTGTAATGATGCTTATACATATAGCATAAATTTGACGTGGTTTTTCAAGGTTTGATTAGATTTCTGATACTTTGTGTTAAAATGTCTAAAGAGCTCTAATTCTATTCTACATGGGTTTGTTTTGGCTCAGATTAAGTTCTCCAATACAGTTTTCACCACCCTCTAACAAAATAAACCCCCCAAAATCCTACAATTTATAAGCTCTTCAGAACAACAAATGCTGTCATTGTGACCGTTTCGAATGTTTTTATACCCTTCGGGACAGATTTACTAAGAGAGGCGCTAATTACAGAAATTTGAGGGGGAAAAAAACATTTTTTTGACTTTCTGTTTCAAAATGTTCATTTTTGGCTGGAGGCATGAACTGAACTTAAGTTTCGTGCCAAGTGCGATACTGTAAAGTCCCTGTTGAATTTCACTCAGTGCATACCGGATGTTTGGAAACGTTTTTTTGAGAGTAACCTCAGCACAAACAAAGCAGGGATTGCACAAGAGGTTCAACATATGCTTTTGACTGAAAAGAAAACTGTCAATCACATACGCAAAACTTGCTCCTCAGGGAACCTGGCTGTAAATCTTAGGTAGTGTGTATGTAAGCAGTAACCTCACCCATCACAAGGCTATTGTGGATTGTCCTGCCCACAAGTCGAAGAAACTTACCACGAAAAGGCTAACCACCAAGCGAAGGCTATCTTAGCAAGCATAACTGAGCTAGCAAGAAGTCAGTTTGTTCGGTCAACCGGCCACGCCAGTGTTTGCTGTGTGCAAATCCAGCAGTAAAGTGAATAAGAACCTTCAACAAGGCGTCTCTGTGTAAAAGCTGGATAATGTCTTTAGTGAGTGGACACAGTGGTGTCTACACCACTACTTGTATATGTACACCTTTTTACTCATTTCTGCCTGCTTCATTCTCACTGTTGTGTTTTATTCAGCGCTGCAGCAGGCTGGGAATGTCGGACTGAGGGATGTCAATCATGTATGCTCATCAGAATATTAGGCCACGCCCAGACACTCAGATTCTCAGGTCTGGGGCTGGATTCACAAAGCTGTCTTAAAGAAAATCTTCTTAAATGTGTTTTTTTCTTAACTTAAAAAGTTACAATTTGTTATTCAAGTAACTTCTTAAGAATTCTTTTTTCTTAACTGTTTTCTTAAGAATAATTTTAAGGTGAAGTGGTATTCTTGAAAATATTAAGTTCTTAAATGTTTTTTTAACCTTACGACAGTCTCTCACTTGTCTTAGCTGCTACTCTGCCCATCCTCATCCTCGCCGTAACCTCATAATTATCATGTTTTCCAAGAAGGATTTTTTCCTGTTGGCTGTTTCTTCCTCCATCACCTCTAGTTCTTCCTGGCTAAACTTTTTTAAATGCTTGGTTAGGTGTATTTCCTCCATTTTGCTCCTCTGAGTCGATTAAATTATGGAAATAATGGTTAATTCAATTTAAAATGTATATTGCGTCATGTGTGGTAAACCGTAAAACGCAACAATAGCATACATAAAAAACAGTGAAGATTTCATTGAGAAAATCTTAAGAAAATAATTAAGATGATCTTAACAGAATCTTTGAAACCCTCTTACATTTTTTTCAAGGACTTCATTTAAGAACATTTTTGCGAACTTTTTAGTGTTTGTCTTTAGAACCTTCGCAAGTTTTTTCTTAACAAAGCTTTCGTGAGCCCAGCCCCAGATTTTTAAGTCGTGTTTTAAGTCTTTGTTAACATCTTGTTTTTTTTTCATTTAAATTTTGCTAGATGTTTAAAATAACACTTAATTTTATTATCATACAAACATTTTTTTTTTATATTTGTGTTCTCTGGGATGTGAATACTTTTACGAGTGTAAAATAAACCCAAAGTTTTAGAAAATAAGGCTTTAAAAACATCATTTTATTAAACCTATTTGCTTTTAGTTTTTTTTCTTGGTCAAATTAAGAATAATGTGACACGGCAGGCATTTACATTTTTTTGTTCAATAATAAATACGTGTTCTCTCTGAGTAGAAACAACTGCAGTGGCAAGAAAGGATTTTTTTTTTTCACAAGCATTAAACGGCGGACAGTCAGAATTTGCTATCAAGTTTTGGTAAATAAGAGTAGCTTCATTATAATCTTCTTAGCGTATTTTGTCTTTTTGGAGGGAAACTCCTACAAATACATGTGTAATGAGGCAAAAGCTTAAAACAGCAGCAAATCGCCCTTTTCATCTCACTATGGGAGCCGATTTATCCATTTAGTAAATTATAATAATCACTTTTTAAGGTCAAAATAGTTTGCGATGGTCCAAAATGTTAGTAAATCCGCCCCCTGGTGTCTGCAATGTGACAGATTTACATCTTACCTAAAAATACTCACTGCAAAATCAGCTAACACAACAACTAAGCCTACAGTTTTGTACACTCAGGCTACAAAGACGGTTTACCTCTTTAAATCAAACTGCCCGGTGGTCGGGGGGCAGGGTGGGGTGGGGTGGTGGAGCTAATGCTAAAAGAATCTATCATTTAGGTGGGAAAAGTGCTGGAGCGCAGCTGAACCACAGCACATGGAGCACAAAGACCACCAACAACAATGACATCAGCAGCCAGGCATGGACTACTGCGCGTTTTAATGGAGAAACAGCACAAAACTCTCCTGCAGTGCGGAGTTAGGAGATTAGGCTCCGACTGGGCTATGGTCGGGCTTCTTTTTTCAAACGTCCCTGTTCCACGATTTCTATACTCCAAACGGAGACTTAAAAAGACCTGGGCCACACAAAGCATGCAGCCACCACAGAAAATAGAGGCTCTGTGAAAATATCACCAGAGGAACAGTGTTATGGTGGTGCTTTGATATCATACGCAGCATAATCCCTACGTGTCTAATGCTTGGTTCCCATTACATTATGATGAAAAGCCATTGTATGACTGGAATGTAAAGTGATGGTTCATGCAAAGTGATGGTTCAGTGACAGCTTCCCCAAGTGAGTAAGTTTGGTGTCTGAAGTTTGCTTCTTTAGTTTGCTTTGTACTGGAACTACAAGGCTAATGAGGCTAATAAGCAATGGAAACTTATATCCCACCAGCTAGAATGGTGCAACTACATGTCTACACATTATCCTTGCCTCAAACCATGTGCATTTGTTAAGTAATCACTAATATACATGATTATGTAGTTTCTGATGTCCTCTTGCCCATTTTCATAACATGTTAACAGTGTCAGAAAACCCTTTTTAGTTCATTTTGGCCAGGGACACTGTATTAAAAAATGAAAGCTCTCTTACAACAGGAGTCCCAAACTTTTGTCCTGAGGGGTGAATGTGTGTGGTGGGCTGAGGGCCAAAAAGGAAAAACAATACACAAATAACGAAGGTAGGTAGGTCTACAAAAAAACTGTATTTAATTTATACTGCACTATATTTTGCTTACTTCAGAATGCAATTTTAAAAGAACTGAATGAGTTATATACTGAATAAAACTATGTTTGATCTCTCATTAGGTGAGGGACTGGGGTTAGGGCAGGGGTCGGCAATCAAAATGTTAAGAAGAGCCATTTTGTCCTTTCAACAAAAATCAAACCACCCTGAGAGCCACAATATTTGACCAGCAGTCTGCGCAGCAATCTTCAGGGTTAAATGGTGAATTAGCAGGTATTCATTAACTCCAGCGTTTAAGACCATTTATTGTTAAAACTGTGTTAGAACGATTAACAGAACTGTATTTTAAGATTCTTTTCTTTTTACCTAAAAATCTAATTCTGCTATGGAGCCACAACAGGGCAGTAAAAGAGCCACATGCGGCTCCGGAGCTGCGTGTTGCCGACCCCTGGGTTTGGGTAACTTTCCGGCAAAATCAGGCCAAACCAAACATACTCACCGGCCCACGGGTCACATTTTGGGAACCCCTGATTTACAGGTCTGGAATGCTCTTTATTAATGGCCACTGTCCCTCACAAATAAATTAGTAAATACATAAACTAAATCAGCAAGTTTGAGGAAAAAGCGTGACTATGTAGGCGTGCAGTTTGCATGATGCTAATTGGTGGGGTATGAGCTTTTATTACTTCTTAGTTACACTAGCCTCATAGCTCTAATGTAAACTTCTGACACCAAACGTTTTTTCTGGCTACATGTGAGTTGAGGAGGGGATACTGTTTACATCTCATGTATGGTTGAAAAATCAGTTTGAGTGACACTTTTGTGACCTCTTCTACCCTGGCCTGAATCAGCTCTATAATACAAATAGTTTGGTGGTGATGTCACCCAGTGTTTCTACACCTACCTGTCTTGGTTGACCTCGTTGCCGCTGTCCCTCTTGTGGAAGACCATGGTATAGCGGGCGACTTTTGGCAGAGGCCGAACGATCTTCATCCCCTGTAGCTGCACCCTGAAAAGGAGGTAATATGCCTTTATTTCCTCATGAATATCATGTAATGAATGCATTTTGTACAATAAACATTTTACTAGTCTGGAAACAGGGACATATTGTTCTAATGCTTATTATCTATTCTCCAGTCTGTTTGTATAAAATGATTAATATAACCTCCCGTCATCTGAAAAAGGGTTAAGAGTGACTGAGAGCATGACATTATGTGCAACTGGTTTAAAATGTAAATACATGTAACACATTATCACCACTACCTTTTAACCTTTAAATGCACACCTCAGGTTTACTAATGACAGGAGACCTTGCACACAGCCATGCGATATCCAAAGACAAACAGTGGCAGTAGAATGGGTCGTACTGAAGAGCTCAGTGACTGTAAATGTGGCAGTTATAGGATGCCACCTTCAGTTTGAGAAATATCTGCACTGCTAGATCTGCCCCGCTAGATCTGCCCCTGCGCGAGTGTGAAATGGAACAACAGCTTGCAAATATATGGCCTATCCTCTGTTGTATCACGCACTACAGAGTTTGAAACTTTTCTCTGGAAGTGACATCAGCACAACACCTGTGTGTCAGGAGCTTCATGAAATTGGTTTCCACGGCTGAGCAGCTGCGCACAAGCCTAAGATCACTGTGCGGAACGCCAAGCATCAGCTGGCGTGGTGTAAAGCACCTGAAAGGCCCAATTCTTATTTTTACCCCTTCCCCTTGTTTTCGAGTTACAAGGGGTGGTTGAAATCTTCCCTACGAAATGGGACCCTCAAATAAAGAAGAACATTACTTCATTAACAGCTACTAGCACTGCTCTTTAGGCGACCCTGCCAGCCTGCAGTGACAGCAGAGGAGGGTAAAGTTCAGCAACCTCACTGCTGGGCTTTAGTTACATTTAGGGCATCATATGCCTTCAAAGAGAGGGGACACGACAGTTGTTTATTATCGCCCACGTCTAATTCTTCGATGATATGAAGCTTCTTGTTCGAATTTTCCACTTTCACCTTAAATGGAGCAGCAGTTCTGATGCCTGACGCACCCGAATGTAACTGCTGCACCATTTAAGCTGGAACAGGAAATTTAGCTAGCTAGCTAATGAGACATCAGCATACTACTAGCAATTTTTAGGCTGGTTACGAAGAAAAGGACCATAATACATTGAAACGACATTAAACTAAGATAAAACAATGGTTATCTTAATACAAAATACTCACATTTGTGGGGGTTTTTCTCATAACACTCCGTTTGGAGTGTGCCTCTGAAAACCCTTTGTTTAGAGGGCCATGTGGCTCTAAAGACTTTGGCCTTACCCCTCTATCTCAACAAAAATCAGGACACCCTACCCCTAGACGTGAACACACAAAACGGAGGAGTAAGGGCTAAGTAGTAGGGGCGAGGGGTGAAATGGGATTGAGCCACAAAATATAAACAGAGAAGATAATAATACAGTATCCCAACTGACTGCGTCATGCAGTGTCTCTTTGGTGTGTTTATTTGCGCTGGTAAAATTAGCACTTCTTTTGTTTTTGAGGTCGTTACATGAAGCCCCACCTCTTCAAAAGCAGCACTTCTATTGGTCAAAGACGCCAATTTGCATGTCAAAGTTCACCAAAGTTGAAGCTGAAGTGAATGTATTCAGCTTGGAAATCTGCTATTCGAAATCGCTCAATGCAGTGAACTCAATTGAATCCATGTAATTAATTAATTAATGTAATTTTGCTCACGGGAATTCACTTGCAAACGCTAGTTTAGTATGACTGGGTCTTAAGGGTCAAACTGAATTTGTAAGGCTGATCGGTGTGGTGTGCACTACCGTATGCGGAGGTCGTCGTCCTCGCCCCCCCAGCCCCAGTACGTGTTGGGAAAGCCATTCACTTTGGCGAACTGCTCCTTCGTCATGGCAGTCACACCCCCGAAGTAACCTTTATATCTCAGCCTGAAAGAGTCAACATTAGCACTGCAGTCACACTTTGAGATTTCTAATGAGAATTTGCTCAAGAGCTTTTCAGAATGTTTGCAGAACACTGTAAATGTTTGCTATTTACACAAAGTAACAGGATATAGATCTTACGGTCTTACAGAGCAATGCATTTATGCATGCCCAGTAATGCTACACAAATTTCACGCGATTATGATGGATGTCCTGTACTTTAGGTAATCTAAATAATGCAACCGGCCCTTGCGTACCTGTAGCCGGTGGAATTCCTGCCCACCACCAAGTGTTTGGGTTGATCTTCACATGTGTACAGATTGCGATCGTTTTCAGGAACTAGATCGACGTCGTGGAAGATGAAGCAGTCCCAGCTGTAGTCTTTCAGAGCCTCCAGGTAGCCAACATTTAGCAGCTTAGCCCTGTTAAACGTAGCGTCTCCAGCCTGCAAGACAAAATACAGAGGCATTTTTATAACATGTATAAACTACAGCCTAATCCACTTGCATAAGGAACGAGAAACTCAAAGGAAAACAAATGAAAAATGCGCAGCTTCCAAAACTGTTCGAAAAATGGTTAAAAGGAAATGTGACTCCTAACAACCACCTGGAAGACCTGGTAGACATTAAAACTGCCCCCATCAGATAAACAGCACTTAAAGCTTTCATCTTTGAGAGAGAGGAGAAAATCAAGCTGCTTCAGATCTGAAAACATCCACAAGTGTTTCTGTCCATCCTTCCTCTGTGAGAAGACGACTCAGCGCTGTGGGTCTGAAAGGAGGTGTAGCTGTTCAAGAAGAACCTCACTGAGAAAAGGAGACACACCAAACAAAGAAGCTGAACAATGGACTGACCACCCCAGAGTCCAGACCTCAACATCACTGAATGTGTTTGATTACTTCAGAAAATGATCAACCAGCTTCAAAGACTGAACTTTGGAGGTGTGTCTGCAGATTCTTTGTGAAACTGAAAGTGAGTCTCCTGGACACACTAAATACTGAAACATCTGAAATGATTTAATTATTGAAGTTAGAATTTCTGCATAATTCACTTGCTGAGATGCAACGATTTTATGTAATAACTTTCTGTGAGGGAGCTTTTAGAGGTGGACATCTGGTTCCTATCACCACCACTGTGAACAATTCTTACTTACTAAGTTTCTCTAGAACAGAGCATTTCACACCAAACCACTCTGAATGACTCTGTTTACATCTTAAAGATTTAATTCTACAGAATTTTTTCAAAATTGGTGGAATTTCATTTTAAATGTTTTTAGTTTTTTTTTACCTAATGCTGAAAAATGCACTTAATGGCCATCCTGAATAGAAATGAAATACATAAATGGTGGTCTTTTACACAGTCCCGTAATAGAACAAGCAACCATCTGACTACAAAAATGTGGAGAAAATATATGACGGACCGAAGGCTGAAAGGCTGGGGATGACACTGTGTTCCTGATCGTAACACTGTCACTGATTAAAGCCTTTATTTGTTTATCTAGGTGTATCTCAGTGTGTCCGGTTGTTCCTGTAGAATGTTTGTACCTGCCATGTGTACATTTTAGCTGCAGTGCTTAAAGAAAAATGATGAATTAATTATTGCTAATACTCTGTTTTTGCTTTCTCTTCTGTCCTCTTCCCACGTTCTCAGAAATGTACCGAACTTGACGTGAAGATTCCATGACGGTAAAAATCACATCTGAAAAAACACTTGGTGTGAACAGGCCTGGAGCCTGTAGCCCACCTGGTGGATGACGTAGATGCCGTAATGGATCTGCTGTCTCTGCAGGAAGGGGTGCAGGTGGTACAGAAGATAGAGGAGATGTTTCTCTCGGTTTCTGTGAGGAAGGAGGATGGCGACGCTTTGTCTGGCCATGCAGTCCGCAGGTTCGTACTGACCCTCCACCACCGCCCGATTCTCTCCCTCCACCTGGCCCAGGGTCAGAGTCGGCTCGAAGGACAGCTTCATCTCTCCACCTTCAAAAAGAACAACGCTACTTTAAAAGGGGGAAACAAATAAAGCATTTCTGGATGGAAGTTCATGCTGCATTTCTGGATGTATTTAATGTTGAAATACCTTTTTCTTGAGGTATTCTACTTACGAAGTTATCATTTATATTTTGAACGATCTGATAAATACCTATTTGGGGTTTTGCCTGTATGAAAACATAACTAGGCACTAGTACCTTCCTGATCTTCCTGCAATGGAACACTGGATAGATTTAGTAAATAAAATATATATTATGGAAAAAATTGTTTTCACTCCGTCTATAAATGAACAAATTTGCCAAGTCCTGGTCAAAATGGATTGCTTTTGTAAAACCCTTACGACCACATTTTAAGGAAGCACCCAATGTTTAATCCTCACTGTCTGTTTTGTGGTGCTGTGTTGCTGTAATTGTACTATTTAGCCAAACTTTCCGGTTTTATAAGTTGTTGCCCCCTCTTTTTTAAATTATTACTATTATTATTTTTAAATATTATCCCTTCTCTCCTCTACACTATATCCCCTTCTATCTAATCACTCCATGTCAAAATGTTTAGTGGGAGGGACCGTACACTCGGGGTAGCTTAGCCTAATAGGCTACAGCTAAAGCACTGCAGAACAGGTCCAATTTTGGCTTTCTGTCACTCCAACACAGATCAGACGACTTTGCTCTCGCTCGATCTATACTTGTGACAGCAGAGCAGTTGTTTGAATCGAACCTGCACTGGGGTGTTTGGATCTCTTGAGCTAAGCTAGGTTAGCTAGGAGAAAGGACCCGGGTAGCATTAGAATAGCCAGGAGACTTCAGCTCAGTCAACTCTAAGTCAACATACCTTAGAGTTTCCCTTCTATAGTTACTGTGTCACACACTCAAGGCCCCATTATGACTGACGTAACAGAACAAACACGCATTTAGATCCGATGCACAAGTCAAACACATAACAATTAAGTGGTGCTGAGATCAGAGCGCTGTCCGACTTATATCACCTTGTTTGTCTTTTATTCGAGTGAGGGATCTAAGCACACAGTGAATTCAAACACACTTTCTGTTTGCGTCCCTGAGCCGCAGCTTTGAAGCGGAGCAGCTGCAGAGAACTGCATAATGTGAAAACAATTCCATTCACTCAGCAGGAGCTGTGAGATTCAACACTACAGCAAAGTTACACTTTCCATTCACTGCTTTCTCACGGCATCATTAACCCGTTAATGCTCATGGTGGAAACATTAGTGTGCTCTCTGTGCTCTGAGCCCAAATCTTAAGAAAAAATTTCAAATCAATGTTGAGTTTTAGCACTTCATTTATCAGCAAATTCAGTATTTTGGTCACAAAGGACTACTTTTCTTTGAATAAAACAAATTTGATAGTGAATGCACTACTGCTGAAGTTTGTAATTAATGTTTTTAACAATAAAAAACTAATAAAATGAATTAGGAATGCTGATTCTGTACAACCTCTGTACAGTTTTCAATTAGTAAGAATTAATAAAGATGCAAAATAATGTGAAGCTATCCAGCTGAACTAAAATGAACATCCAGAAAGCAATTCTAATAAAATTAATATCCAGAATAAGGTTCTAATACAATAAATACCCAGAATGCCTCACGTTAGAAACATAACATTACTGTACATAACAACAGTATAGGATTTACAGTATATAACCTGAATAAAACATCTAAAGATAAATTCAAACGGATATTTTCAGAGGTCTAAGTACACAACACTTCATCACTTCAAAACAGACAGAACAGGTTCTGAGGTTTCTCTTATAAATTGTAGTTATGAATGGAATTGTATATAATGAAGGGAATGACGGCTGTCTACCAATAAGTGGCGAAGTGAAGTGCTGGTAAAATGCTCCAATGCATATGCAAACAGAGTTATAGGCACTAAAGGAGTTATTTCACGAGTTATTTCATGACACATACACACACACATTTTATATATATATATATATATATATATATATATATAAATAATGCGTGTGTGTATGTATTTGTGTATATGTGTGTGTGTGTGTGTGTGTGTGCGTGTGTGTAAAAAACGTCACCTCTAACTTAAATCACCGGGCGAGGTCGACATGCTTTTCCTATGACTCTGGAATGCTACCTAATGTGCTCTAAACTGCATTCTTTTTAAATAAATGACAACAAAAACAACCGACATCTGTCGCAAAAATATACTATATATACTGCCCGGTCCAGTTTGACGAGTTCGTCATATCCTTAACTGATCTATATTCGAAGTGAAACATGGTCACCCCCTCACTTGCTGACAAGAAGTGACCAAAAGTAGTTTTAGTTTTTAAAACAGTGTGGCTATAAAGATGCTGCCTGGGGAACCTGGTCAGGGTTCAAAGGCTGGGCAGGATCCCCTGGATTAGGCATTTTATACTACATGCTATGGCAATAATTATTCATCAGAGATGTTATTCCATTACCCTGCATTTTTTAGATTTAATTAAAACACATTAAGCAAAAAAAAAAAAAGTAAATAAATAGATTCCAGCAATAAATCGCAACTATATCACTACTAATAATAAATAATAAGAAGAATAAACATTTTTCATTCGAGAATTAAAGTTAAAAACTTATCTTGAGCTTCAAAAATGAAACTAAATTTGAATATTATGATATTATTAAGCCATAAATACGTTGGAATTTGTGCACACAAGCAAAATTCTGTCAAATAGGTCAGCTAACCCAATATGGATAAAATAGATTTTTGCAATGTATGAAAATGGCCAAACATATATTCACTAAATACATTTTAAAATGCATTTTTAATGTATTTTCCAAATAGATTTATCAAAAATATTTTTGCAATGTATAAAAATGTCCAAAAGATGCATTACTAAAATATATGTTTAAAATACATTATATTTGTATTTGTTACTATTTTTTTTAATTGTATGTAGTTTTAATAAAGGTTACAGATGTAAATAAACGGTACCGACTTCTGTGATCTGCATTGTACTTTACATTAACCATGTATCAATATCAGTATCAATCAGTATCAATACCTACAACACTTATTTTTGTCATGTTAAATATTCATTTGCTAATATTTAAAATTAAGATACTGGAATATACAGGATGTGTTATACAGGATTTTTCATACATTGTATGGTACTTTTCATTGCATAATACTTCACCATACAATTTAAAATAAATGTATTTTAAAATAGATTAGGTTAATATGGCAAAATATTCTAAAATAAATGTTAGTGTTTGGAGTGTATTTCAGCATGGACTGCAATGTATTTCAAATATATAAATACACATGCCCACATATTTTTTTCCATATGTGATGACCAATACGATGCAATAATGTACTTTAAAAGCTTTAAAATGATCTTGAAGCACTTCACTTAGGATGTCTTTAACTCTTGATATGTGTTAAAAGTGTCTTCTGTAACACTCACGGAGCAGCGGAGATTCATCTGGGCAGCTAGCTTTGGTGGCCTTATCTTCAGTCCCCTGCTCTTCTTGCTCCTCCTCTTCTTCAGCTGGGCTGTCCAGCTGGTTCCATATAGCGGATGACCTCTCTGGACCTTCCTCCAGTTTCAGCTCTGCGTCTTTCTTCCCTTCATTCTGCACCTGAGGTAGAGTGGGCTCCTGTTCTGTGGTCTTCACCGGCCCATTAGCGAGTGTGGCTATCCACGCTAGCACGCACAGGCACAGCGCCAGCAGGAGAAGAAATTTGGCCTTTCTCGTGAACCAGGACACGGCGGGACACGGACCCATGGCTGCGGCTCAGCGGGCAGGAACGCAAAAAAGGCAAAAAAACGACAAACACAGAGTCCTGGGGACTGACATCTGCCTCAAGCTCCTCTCAAAGTCCAGGAAAGGTGGGCTAATCGAGTCTGGCGCTTGGCCCCCCGCGCACAGTCACTTTTACAGCAGATGAGGTTCGGCCTCTAGCGGAGACTGTTCTGTGTCTCTTTGCTTCGGTCATTATTTCCAATTCCAGTGGGGGGAAAGACAATTCAACAAGGGCTCAGAGCGCAAGTGTCCCCCTATTTAGAAACCAGCATGACTCACAATGGCCACACACGGTGTTCCAGGTCCAGACTTCCACAAGTACCTGAAAATACAGGAAAAAAGAGAGAGAGAGTAATTTACATCTTGTGACAGGTGAAGCATTCCACATTCCACAGGTGTATTAGAGCCTACCTGGGTCCACGCCCCCACCAAGCCCCTTCTGAGAACAATAGTCTTTTTCTTTCTCCACCCACCGTCCATCACGCCCTCACCTTTTTCCTTTTTTTTTTTATCTCTATAGAACATTTGTCTAACCTTTCCTTCCAGGCTATCTCAGTAAATCGAGCATGCAGCTCCTCAAACCCTCCCTTTTGTTTGCTCGCCAGCCTCTGTTAACATTTCAACCCATGAACACTCTCTGATTTCATGTTGTCATATTGCACTAGAGCGTGCTGATCACATGGGCTTTTCACAATCCACTTCCTTCACAGGAACCTAGAAAAGATCTTGCTTTGTCCTTTTCGTTAATGAATAATACCTGACTGGATATTTTATTATTGGCCTACGTGGCCCCAGCGCACTGTGACCTATCATTATTACCACTTATTACATTATTATTATTATACTATAGATTTTTTTATTTAAATGTGTACAAACTTCATCTATCCATATAAACTCATTAACATCCACATATTAAATTATAAAAGGTGCTAAATTTCACTTGTCTGAGCACAAAAATAAAGAAAAATTTCCAATCGATCAAACCATATGGCTAAGAAGTGAGCTTTTAATCACGTATGAAAATGATCAGTTATGAAAAATATATGTAATCAAAAAGATAAAAATTTCAAATGGTTACTGTTCTCCAAACGCTGTACACAAAACTACACACAGTTTCATCACTTCAAACCAGTCAGAACGAAGAACCAGTTCCGTGGCATTTCTCCATAATTATCACACCATATTTAATCATAACATGTATAATATATATTAAGCAAAGTCATTCAGAGTGATCTGGTGAGAAATGGTTCACTGTAGAGACTTCTTTACAGCGGTGGTGATAGGAACCAGGGGTCACCTTGACTACAACACAGATATAGACATTTTATTCACTATCCCAAACCACCAGTGAACCTACACGTGTTTTTATATGTAATGCTGATGATGATAAAATAGTGACAAACCTGAAAAACATAAGTTTCTTTGGGGATTATTTTGCCTCACAATACCCTGCATGTACCCCTCCACCACGAATGGATTAAAAAATGGATTCAAATACATTTTAAGCCAAAACTTTACCATTAAACTGTCTTAATGTCTCAGACTTCAGGCAGTGAATTCATAACCATTTCCTGTAATAACTTTCTGTGAGGGAGCTTTTAGACGGGACTGGTTCCCATCACCACCACTGTGAACTACTCTGACTTGGCAAGTTTCTCTACACACCAAAAAAGATAGTACTTCAAGGGTTCTTTAGTAAAAGGAGTGGTTCTATTCAGAACCATGAGTTCTATACAAACCCATCTGCAAGCTTAAATTGTTCTTTGCATGGTGAAATGGTTCTTCAGACTGATAAATGTGCTGTATTTGGCTCTATATAGCAGATTTTTGAAAATGGTTCTATAACCACAGCACCAAAGGGTTCTGCTACGATGTCAAGCCTGTGGAACCAGGACGTGACCGCCGCACTATTTAAGGTGGAACGGAAAATTCTAACTTCTGCTTCTTTAAAGGTGATAAACCGAGAACGTGCCAGTGAGAATAGAGCAGCACGCTCGCGGTGTTTAACCGCTAAATAAACAAATTAACGTTATATCTGATCATCAGAGACGTAGCAACGCTTTACTTCCAGGCTGGTATGTGACTACAGTTGACAGTACGAACGAATAAAATTAGTTTCCTTACCCGAATTTAACTCAAAGGCCGAGGTTTTTCCTTATTTTCCTCCCCGTTGACTCCTGTTACAGCCTCATCTAGCAAATGGGGGCGTTATTTCCGCAAACACTGACGTTTGAGACGTCGCAAGTCCCGCCTCCTACGCTGCGATTGGCTAGTGGCACCAACTTCTGCGTTAGGATTGGCTGACAGTTTCCACTCATCGCCCGCCGATTGGGTGGTTCCCTAATCGGTCACGTCACTGTTTTTTTAATTTAATTAATTATTAATTATTAAACATATAAAAATGTCTTCTTAACGCATCAGCACATACTTTATAAACAGGCGAGGGGCAGCAACCATTTTAAAGAAATAGCACACATACCAGGAGCTTAAAAAAAATAGCTAACACATACTCATTGTACACGTTCAGACATTTAAAGGTGCAGTGTGTAAGATTTTGGGGGATCTATTAGCAGAAACTGAATATAGTAACAAAATCATGTTTTCACTAGTGTAACTATGAATCTTTGTGGTTCCGTTTAGAACAGTGGTCCTGCACATCTGCATTCCTGTGAAATCTAGTTCCAACCATGATCTTCCGCACCTGCTCCAGCTAAGTAACTTCTTCAGAAGTCCTTGATTGGTTGGATCAAACGCATTAGTGTTGAGTGAGGAGAGGGGCAGCATGTTAGATGCAGGTTGGAACTAAACACTGCAGGAAAGTAGATCTCCAAGAAGAGGGCTGGTGACCACTGGCTTAGAATAAGCCCTTCATATTTACACAGGAGCTGGATCTCTTCTAACAAGTTGCGCCACTATGTTTCTACAGTAGCTCAGAATGGCTCAAACCAAACACTGGCTCTAAAAGGCGCCTTCTGCGTTTCTGCGCTGAAGCAGCTGCCGGTGCAGGCTGACTATTTTATGTTGTAAGAATGCAGGACCATATTTATTATTTAATACAAGAAAAAGTGAGGGAGGGCGAATCCTCTCTGTCAAAGAAGTAAAAACGTGAAGATGACAGCCACCATAGGTTCTACTAAATGCTTCAAAAGGGAGGAGTGAGGGAGGGGGATTCAGCAGGTTGCAATCTGCAGCCTTACCTCTAGATGGCACTAAATCTTACACACTGCACCTTTAAGTGCTAGTTTGCTACCAGAAGAATGCAATTAAAGCAACCATATGATAATGAAATTCAGCACAGAAGGAGACAAATACCAGCCATTTTTCAATCTGTTTACAATTGTGGAAACATTTTTATAACAGTGTTAATAAAGAGATTAAACCCACATCGTTGTGGCAACAGTACAAAACAATCTTGAGAATTGTAGATTACACACACACACACACATTTTCTAAACTGTTTATCTTTCTGTTTTGTGGGGTTGATTACTTTTTAATTAATTTGGCAAAATTCTCCTCATATTCAGGCAGCTGACAATAAAACATGCTATGTGTCCAAAAATATTTAAGCAGCCCTTCTAAGCAGAGTAAATGAGTGAACTGGACTGCGAGTGGAAAAGAGCCGTCAATTTTGCTTTGCCGTCAGTGGGCCAACAGTGGGCAACTATGCTCTTGCTATCTGGGATATGAAAATATTAATCATTATTATGATAAATGACATCACATAATGCTTTTCCCCTCCCTCACTCCTCTCTTTTTTGTCAGTACTTAAAGAACACTGAACAACTGTGCTTCAGTATAAAGAGCGTATTAGGCCTGGCCTACCGACCGGAGTCGTGATAAGACCCACTGTGACAGCTTCTTAGTTCTCGAAGGAACAACTGCAGAAAAATTAGACCAAAACTGTGTGGCTTTCCAGGGTTTCAGAGAGCTAACCACCTCACCAACATTCTCAAACTCTTAAATTTCAAAACAGCTAACCTCTGCTAAAATCAATGACTAATCAGAAATATAAGCAATAATATAATATGGTTTATTTTTGTCATTTCATTTTCTTCACAGAAGAAATCAAAGGTCTCTAAGAAAGCTATATCTAATGAGGAGAAATCTAGGAGTTTATTATTCATCAGTGGATCATGGTGTTAGCAATCGCTGATTCACACAGCTCCAATTTGGAAAGATGCTCCCTGTTTGGGCAAACGCCACACTATAGCAATGACCCCGTTGAAACCTACTCACTTCATGCGTCTTGAGTTTCAGGATTATATCTGGATGAGGCCAAGCCACATAAAAATGCAAGTATAAACGCACCTAAAACACATATGAAAAGGAAACAAATCCGATTGTTCAAACCACTAACCAAATACCTCCTGGTACAACCGAAACTCCTCCCAGTACAACCAAAACCCCTCCCAGAACAACCGAGGTCTCTCCCAGTAGAACTAAAACTCCTCCGAGTACAACTGAAACCCCTGCCAGTACAACTAAAACCCTTCCCATGACAAACAAAACCCCCCTCAGTACAACTAAAACTCCTCCCAGTACAACCAAACCCCTCCTAGTACAACTTAAACCTCTACCATGAGAACCAAAACCCCTCTCAGTACAACTAAAAATCCTCCCAGTACAAACAAAACCCTTCCTAGTACAACCAAAACCCTTCCCAGTACAACGAAAACTCCTCCCAGTACAACTGAAACTCCTCCCAGTACAACCAAAACCCCTCCCAGTACAACCAAACCTCCTCCCAGTACAACCAAAACCCCTCCCAGTACAACCAAACCTCCTCCCAGTACAACCAAAACCCCTCCTAGTACAACCAAACCTCCTCCCAGTACAACCAAAACCCCTCCTAGTACAACCAAACCTCCTCCCAGTACAACCAAAACCCCTCCTAGTACAACCAAAACTCCACCCAGTACAACCAAAACCAACTTTGTTACATGTCTGCGAGGAAGATAATCATGGAGGATGCTCACAGTTGGAGACTGGATGATACGAAATACTTAATTGCTATCTGGGATGTTAGCTTGACAAACGTTAGCAAGTCTATTATTTATGTCTAATGACAAACTCTGCCTATTTACCCACGAAAATCAAGCTTGCAGTCTTCACAGTATACCTACCATATCCAGTGGTCACACTTCACCATCATTCTGCATTTGTAGTCTTCAGAAACAGCTGAGTTTATTGTGTTTTGGGCAGTTGTGCAGACGCAAAAAACTAGCCGTACATAAGAAACACATGATCACCAGGGAAGTGTGGATCTATTTAGAGGTGAAAATTCCTGGAGTTCCCTGAATTGTACCACACAGCTGCCTAGAGCGTTGGTCCATATTAATGTCACAACATGTTATCAGCTTCTGAAATGTATATTATCTGCTTCTGTAAGACATTTTTATTACAAATTTCCAACAAATAGTAAAAACAAGATCAAAACGACAGGGCATGTACACGCTTGAAGATGCTGCTCTCGTCAAATCCTAAAAGCTACGCAGTATCACTCTCTAATTAACATCGAAGGCCGTCATCTTCCTCATTCAGTGAACCGGCCGCTCAGTCATGACATTTCCACATCGAAAAATATTCAACAGCTTATGAGACAAAGTGGCAGAGATGTTGCTCCCATTGCTTACACTGTTTACAAACAATGCAAATATAAACCAAATTCAAACTCTGAACATGATTATGCTACTCGCTCCTGGTTCATGCATTCGAAAACCTCTAAATCTCTAATTGCTGCTTTAAATTACAAACCAGGTCTGCTAAGAATAATTAATCTGCATCTGGCTTGAGAGCACTTTCATGAAGTGCCTTAATTGCTTGTGATTAACAACTCAAGTCCAGCTCTGTGAGTCTAAATTGTAAGCAATGCGAAGAACAATGTAAATAATGTCCAAAGAGCAAAGTACAAAGCAATAATTTGTCTACAACTTGTCTGTTCCAGAGGGTTTAAGAGGTGAAGAAGCCAAAAATCAAATTTACACAATTTTCCATGAACAAAAGCAGCTGTTCAGGCTTCTACTGCTGTGTTAGATATAACGTACCTTAGTCCATGTTATAGAAGACAGTGTGCTATACAGTGTCAGAAACCACATAATCAGGTCTATTAGAGATATTGAACAAGTCCATGTGGTTTGAGGTGAGTGTTTGTTGATTTAGGCATGCAGTTAGCACAGTGCTTAGCCTCATAGCTCCAGTGCTAACCCTGGCTGTTTGGCTATAATTTAATGAAGAGGAAAATTGTGTAAGTTTAATTTTAGTCCAGATTGTTGCTTAAAACCCATCAATGTTTAAAAATTAAGTAGCTAACATCAAGGATTCTTTACAGTTTTATTGAGTTCTTTCTCGCCTCCTCAAAGCTGAGTGAGAGAGTAACGGTCCCGCTCTCGAAGCTCACTCTAGGCCTTTGGCCTCGTCTGTGTTCAGAGGGAGTGGCCGCCTCGTTCCCGTTGGTCTTCAGGCTAATGGACGAGGAGGGCGAGGAACCTGAGGAACCGCCTGCGCTGCTGGACCTTTTCCTGGAGGCAGAGCTTCGCCTCAGCGTAGCTTTCGCTGCCGCTTTGAAAGAATGAGCTGCTGTGCTCGAGCGGACTTCCTCTATGGTGTTCCTGGACGGCTTGAAGAGAATGATGTAGACCTTGTTGAAAAAGATGCAGGCCAGCAGGCTGAAGCTGGAGGCCAAGATGGCAATGACCTCCACAGCAGATACAAACTTGCCATAGGTGCTGAAGTAGGCAGGAATGAAGGAGATCCAGACGATGAAGAAAATTAGCATGCTGAAGGTGATGAACTTGGCTTCGGTGAAGTTTTCTGGGAGCTTCCGAGACTTGAAGGCGAAGAAGAAGCAGACGGCTGCCAGCAGGCACGTGTAGCCGATCAGGAAGCCCAGAGCCATCATTGAGCCTTCGTTGCAGGTTATAAAGATGATCTCATCAATGTCGTAGTTTCGGTAGCTCGCTGGTGGAGCATTGTACAGCCAGACCACACAGATCATCACTTGCACAAATGTAAACAGGAACACCAGGAGGAACTGCAAGTTCAGCCCCCACCACTTGCGATGGAGACTGGTTGGTATCTTGGCCTCAAACACCAGCAGAACTCGATTGGTCTTCACCAGAATGCAGGAGATGCACAGGACGAAGCTGATGCCAAAGGCCGGCTGCCGTAGACGACATGTCCAATCCTGAGGTTCGCCGATAAAGATGAGAGAGCTGGA